TCCTCTCCGAACAGACAATCTCTCGACAATACGCGTTTTAGCATTTTCACAAAATGCAAAAACGCATAATAAACTGCCCCAAGCCGCAGTCCCGAAAGAATAGATACCTCTGGAGGATCGTTTTTTCTGACGGAAATGTTCCAGCGCGAAATTGTCCTCGTCAGATGATTCCAATTTGCGTTTCTTGCCTTTTTCCTTTCTCCTGGTGTTCATCCGACGCGCGCTTTTTGCATGCACTTGCTTCTTCTTAGTCCCATTAGGCAGAGCAGCGCTGTTTGACGAATGTGGTGCAGTCGCCTGACAACGCATTCTTATCATTTTTCGGTCAGTAACGGATAAAGCTGATAAAGGAATTTGTCCAGCATAATAAAAGATGCATGGATTATTACAACTGCTACTACTACTACTATATTGAGAAGATACCACAGAAATTCGGACCTACAGAATCCAAAAAAAGAATAGACCTAGCTGGAAAGCCTACTTCACGTCTGGATGGTCGTAGTGAGACCTTGAGATCTTCTTTCTGTTCGATAGAATATCTGGGCGAGATCGTCCGCGACATAATTGTTCCATTTTGTCCCGAGCTTACCCTGCAACACTAACTCATCTGAGGCACAGTTTATCAAAGTGGCTACTCCTTCGGTGATGACCATACCAGGAGAGTAGTGCGAAAAAAAAAAAATTTTAGGCAATGTCCGTCAGGCTTCCATGATGGAGATGATGGTAGCGAAATATAACCTTGGAGATGCAGCTGAGGTTGACGGCCGTCGATATGGCGGTGACACAAACGGCTTCTCAGCAGTGGTACTACGCGGGGAAACAACATGATGTGGAGGGGATAGAAGGAACGATTGACACTCATCACTGGAACCGGAATCGGTGCGTAACCCATGCTGGGACCGCATGTGGTGCCCATAACCGACATCCTTTAGAAGCATGCCGCATTTCTGTAATACAGTAACAGAATACATCAGAGTCAGCTCCAGTTGGATTCGAAACGATGGCACAGAGGCTTACCTCGCACTTGATCAGAAGCATCGATTCTAGCTCAATGCTAGGATAATAGCCGTAACATATGGCTTCTGAAAAATCACAGAACATTAATTATAAAATGTCGATGGACGCGGTGAAAACATGCACAAATGCACCTGAACGAGCACTGGTTCGATTCTTCCCCCACACTCCCCGGGACCATTATCATTTTCAAAAAATACCTCCGTTCATGACATAATAGAAGCTATACTGGTAAGTTTTTGAATTTTTCTAAATAATGCGTGATTCCAGCCGTTGCTGGCGCTGCTGCTCTACGAATGCCTTCAGACACGATGATGTTGATTGATTTCGTCAATTTATCCAAAGATGTGAATGTAATTTCTGACAAATTGAATTTTGTTGCAACTTTCAAGGTGTGCTTGATTCAGATGTGTTTTCGCGGTCGATGCACCATGTCATGAGAGGTGCCCTGTTAGGAAATAATTATAGATCTGCAGTGTAGTAGATAGCACGTAGCGTCTAGATGTGAAAGAAGTGGTTCGATTCCCTCCCAGCCTATAACCATTTTCGAAAAGGAGCTCCGTTCACGGCAACACCAATTCTTCCGGCGAGAGAACAACCGAACGCTGTCAAGGTGATGCGCCATAATGGAAGAACCAAACCATGTAGTGGTAAGCTATCGTGTGGTGTTCTCGCTGCGCTCCGTAATGATTTTTGCTTTTTAGTTTCAATGCCTCCGTTTGGACCTAAGACTCCTGTAACTTTCTGGGACAGAAAGAATAATAATTGGCCAACGCACGGGCTGCCCGTGCGAAGATGCGTTTTTTGCACGGTTCC